GGTCTGGTGTTCCTGCTGTACATCTAGAGATTCTTGACAAAATCCTAAGAAGGATCCTGAGACCAGATATATTAACTTCAGTCACTTTCTCAACAATGTGACACGACTTCTCTATCTTTTTTGATATTTTAAAATGAAGCAACCCACACTAAACAAAATTACATTTCAAACTAGTCACAGCACATTACATTGCATCTAGACATTGCTTCTGTTGCAATGCTTCAGGCTATCATGTGGTATGACATCATAGAACCACATCTTGAACTTACGATCTACGTCTGCTACTCTGCAACTGCTATTGTCACCTAGCAATTTTCTATGACAAAAATAATAAAATATCAGCTTTGACAGTGGATATCTTTGTTTCATGTTTGTATAACCACTCTGAGGATGGCTCATGTAAGCCGAAAGCTTAGGACCAACTTAATAAAAGAGATAGCTAAATATTGGGTAATTTTTGTCTTTATTTTCACCAGAAATTAAAGCAAACATACGAATAGTAGAACAGCTCATGATCAGACATAATAGACATTCATTGTCTGTTATATTTAATAATATATGCTTAAATAATGATTTGCTGCCCCAGTGCAATAATATATATATATATATATATATATATATGTCATTCGATGTCAAATCTGAACATCACTGACACTGATTTTTTTTTTTTTTTCTTTTTTTTTTTTCAAATTTGTTACACTTATAGAGCTTCATGATATAAATTGAATGGTACCTATTTTACATCTCTAGGTCAAAGGGTTTCAGAGATATGACCATTTGACTGTTGCCAAAAAGGTGAATTTTGGGAAATAGTTTGAAATTTTAAACATCAATATCTCTGTTGATTTTTCACCTTAAAAGCTAAATTATATACCATTTTAAAGTGCTTGGATAGATCTAAAATGTAATGGATTTATTATTTTGTTTAGAGGTCAAATAAAATAATTTGATCTTGACACCATTATTTTCTCAAAACCATATTTTTAATTTTTTTAAATTTGACAACAAATTTGTCAGCCTTATGGCAAGATGTGTACAAAATTTTGTGGTGGACTTTTGACTGTGGCCTGAGTTACAAGGGTTTTATTGAGTTAGGCCAAATTCAAAATGGCGGTTTTTGGCCTATGCCACTATACGCTAACATTTTCTTATCTCCCAATATGATCAAGTTGTCCATCTTTAGAAAGCTCTTTGAATACTGATTATTATTCACATAATAAATATGGTCATAAAATCAACAGAATGTGTGTTATTTGTGGTTAAATGTTGACCAGTTTGGTGCAAAATAAACTGCCTTATTTTTAGTTTTGTTTAAATTTTTTCTTCTACAACAAATAGATTTTTATATGAAAAAGTGAGATAATGAAAATAACTATTTAAAAAAAAATGTCATGAATTAATGTTAAATGAAAATGAATTGCAACTTCTTATCAAGTGACTGTCAATGATTGGTGAATTGCCAATCAGGCATCAAAAACTTGAAAAACAAACCAATTATGGGTGAAAAAAGTAGGAAAAATTCAAGGAGCAGTATCAAAGAAAATTAAACTAATTTTAATTAAAATTTCTCATTAAGAAGACACCAGTGTAGAACAGCACAAAAGCTCTGATGAAAGTGAAATTATACAGTTAAAAGAAAAGTTTGCAGCTAGTGAAAAGAAGTCCCAAAAAGTACAAATTTTGACAATATTTTCAAAAAGCTGAACTCACTGGAAATGTGGTGGTCAGTAACTGGGCAGTAATAAGAACTAGATGATGAGATATCCCTGGGCATGGGCAGTAGAGTGAGAACAATCTATAGATTAAATGACTGGTTCAGTTTGAAATACCCTGAAGGTTACCCAGATTGACAAGCACGTGATGAAGATGAGGACAATAGTCTGCACATAAATAATGCAAATAAATAATCATAGTTCAATAAGGAAACACTGACGCAATCATGCACAACTCCTACTCCCATAAAAAAATCCTTGTAGATAACACTGTCATTTTAAGAACATCTGATTGTAAAAGGTGTTTAAAGATAATGGAAGCCCTTTTTAAGAAAGCAGTTTAAGTCAAGCCTCAATCTCACTTTCCTTGAAGTAAGATGGAAAAAGTTGGTAATGTTTTAAAGGTATCCCAACATGGAATTATTAGTACTTTCATCCAACAAGTCTTAGAATTACTACTACTTTTAAAGGATACAACATAAACACAGAAAAATATATTAAAAACAAACCCCTTTAAAATGGCTAAATAATTGGCTGAAAGTCCTTGGGACAATAATTACTATGGACAATTTGTACAATCTTAGTCCTCATAAAAGAAAAACTAAGAACAGTAGAAAAACAGAATAAACAAAACCCATAAAATATTTTCAGATATAGGATTAATGCAAATAAAACTTGTCACTTAGCTGATTGATGTCACACCTCAAATCCAGAGTTTCTTACATGAAGCCTTTTTGTGATTGTTCAGACCACTCATCTGGAGACTTCAGCAATTGTGTGTGTGTGTGTGTGTGTGTATAACAAAATATGTTAAAAGGATGGTTTTGACCACTGGATCTTTTCTAATGTCTTGTTACCCAGCCACCTGAAGAGACCTGGTGGTTGAAACCATGGTAGTGTTGGTAGTATATGGTATTTTTACCTCATTTTATATATATATATATATCCAAGAGCATAAAATCCAGGCCATGGTTATAATTTATTACATTGGAATTGTAATCACAATCCAAATCATCAGTCCTACAAATTCAAAGTGAAAACAGAAAATATAATACACAGAGTTATATTTTCCGATTTCTTTTTGAATTTGTAGGTATGATGATTTGGATTGTGATTACAATTCCAATGGAATAAATTATAACCATGTAATATTAGTGTTTTGAGCCTTTTTATATATATATATATATATATATATATATATATATATGATATGTGTGTGTATAAAGTCTAGTTAATGAAATTTGAGGAATAAAAAGACAAAAAAATTGTAACAATATTGACAATAAGATTGATATTTATTATAAATGTTGCAATGAGTAAATTGTTGCCATTTTAGATTTTTAATTTCATGAATATGCGTTGTTTGTTTTTGATTTTGTTGATGGCACATAGGGTCAGTTGGGCACCATGTGTGAAGTAAAGAGCAATTGACTCCACCAGAAATTTGAAAATGGTATGCTTTACTGCTTGGCATTTACCCTAGAACTCCAATATGAACATTTCAGAGTTTTGGGGCTTCAATCTGAAGACAGTGCAGAGGATTTGGAAAGAGTTGGATGAGTCTAATGGTGATTAAAAAAGGTGTTTGGAGTGATCACTAGTGATGGTGACAGTATGCCTTCATTCATCTTCCCATAGTGCCAAAGATGAACTGAAGGCAACTGGAGACCATGGTTAAAGCCAATGGCAATTTTATAGAATAAATTTATTTGTTAGTATTTCAAGATATTTTTGTGTAATTTTGGTAAATATATTTGTCAGTGTTATTTTCATTTTTCTTAATTTAAATGACAGTTTATCCATTGCACTGTGTGTGTGTGTGTGTGTGTGTGTGTATATATATATATATATAAGTTATGAAGAACTTGGTAATCCATATAGGTAATCCCAAGGAGGATGATCCGGCATCCTTTTAAAAGGACTCTGGTGAAATAAATTATTATAATGGTACCTTAAAAGTGGTCTGTTTTTCTTTTAAATTTATAATATATATATATATATATATATATATATATATATATATATATATATATAAGGATGGTTAATAAAATTTGAAGAATAAAAAACCAACAAAATAATGATTTTGGCAATAAGATTGATGATTATTATATATTAGCCTTTTAACTAAATTGAAGCATGAAGAGAAAGATTTAAAAGTTGGAATTTTCAGACACACCTGTGTCCTTTTTCAATGAGACAAGAAATAAACAATGTGGGCCTCACTCTGCAGGGGTATGTTGTTGTTTTCTTTTCCTCATGTGTTGTATTTTGGTAGAAATTTGATTTTGGCCTAATAGTTTGTCAGGATTAGGGTTGTGTAGGCTTTGTTGAGGGCTATGGAAACTATATTCTCTGAGTAAATCCAAATCCTTGTTTAATCCTTTAATATGTGATTCTATTTTGAAAATATATCTTAACTTATATATAAATAAATGCAAATGTCAGTGTGTCACTGTGTCACACTTTTTCAACTTTACTCCAAGAGGCCGAAGCACAACATATCATACCATTTTAGAATCAAGCCGACTTCATGACAAAATTAAAAACATTCTGGGCTGGATCTAGATCCAGATCTGCAATCCTGAAATTCCCAAGTTTTCATTACTGCGATCGTTTTCAGCAATATATGTTTTTATGTGATTTTTTGCAACAAATTTTTTTTTGTATGTTAACAATTTTTTGAAATAAATTTGGGAATAATCAAAATTAATTGCGAAATCCAGTGAAAGTCACCCACGACATAAAAATATTTCTACAGAAAGTAAGGACCTACATACATCAAATTATCTTTAAATTAAGTGGCAGGAGAAGAATTATTGTTGACCGTTTAAAAGGTAAACTTCAATATTAATGCAATACTTAAATGCAGCAATCAATTTTGAGTTCTGTATTCTGTTGTTGCCTATCACATCTACTCCTCCCTATCTATTGTGATGAAGGCATAATCAAGAGCCCTCTGTAAGAGCTAGCTTAGATGCACCCAATAGGGCAGCTTTTAAGAAGCTAGTATATATATATATATATATATATATATATATATATATATATATCTTTTTTGGAAATATTCTTAATATCAATTTCCTCTTCCAGCTGTTGCCTCTCTCTTTATTTTTTTTTTCTCTCTCTATATTTTCTCTCTCTATATTTTCTCTCTCTATATTTTCTCTGTATCTATTCATGCACTCTCTTTTCCTTCCCCTCTTACTCTGTTCCTTCTTCATCACAATACTTTGAATCCACATTATTGAGATTTCTCACTAATCTTCATTTAGAAAGATATATATATATATGTCCATCTCTTTCTTGTTCACTCTTTTAATTTACTTGACTTTTCATATCTTTTCGCTTTCTCTACCTCCTCTCATTTTCTATTACTCTTTCACTTTTTATTTATTTTCACTTTCTTCTTTACCATGCCTTCATTTTCTTTGTCGACCTTGTCTCTTTTTGACTTTTATCTTCTTCATTATTATTTTTCTTCTATTTTCTTTGTCCATCCACCTTTGTCCTTTTCCTTTTTCCATTTCTCCATTTTTTTTTATTATCGTTATCATTTCAGATTCTTTTTCTTCATCTTGTCTCTTACTTTGTCTTTTGCATTTTTTTCTTATTTTCATCCTCTCTTTTATCATTTTTCACCTTTTTTTTTTCTGTCATCCTTGTCTCTTTTTGCTTTCTGTCATCCTTGTCTCTTTTTGCTTTCTGTCATCCTTGTCTCTTTTTGCTTTCTGTCATCCTTGTCTCTTTTTTGCTTTCTGTCATCCTTGTCTCTTTTTTTGCTTTCTGTCATCCTTGTCTCTTTTTGCTTTCTGTCATCCTTGTCTCTTTTTGCTTTCTGTCATCCTTGTCTCTTTTTGCTTTCTGTCATCCTTGTCTCTTTTTGCTTTCTGTCATCCTTGTCTCTTTTTGCTTTCTGTCATCCTTGTCTCTTTTTGCTTTCTGTCATCCTTGTCTCTTTTTGCTTTCTGTCATCCTTGTCTCTTTTTGCTTTCTGTCATCCTTGTCTTTTTGCTTTCTGTCATCCTTGTCTCTTTTTTTGGTTTCTGTCATCCTTGTCTCTTTTTTTTTTCTGTCATCCTTGTCTCTTTTTTTGCTTTCTGTCATCCTTGTCTCTTTTTTGCTTTCTGTCATCCTTGTCTCTTTTGCTTTCTGTCATCCTTGTCTCTTTTTGCTTTCTGTCATCCTTGTCTCTTTTTTGCTTTCTGTCATCCTTGTCTCTTTTTGCTTTCTGTCATCCTTGTCTCTTTTTTGCTTTCTGTCATCCTTGTCTCTTTTTTGCTTTCTGTCATCCTTGTCTCTTTTTTTTTTGCTTCTGTCATCCTTGTCTCTTTTTTGCTTTCTGTCATCCTTGTCTCTTTTTTGCTTTCTGTCATCCTTGTCTCTTTTTTTGCTTTCTGTCATCCTTGTCTCTTTTTTTGCTTTCTGTCATCCTTGTCTCTTTTTTGCTTTCTGTCATCCTTGTCTCTTTTGCTTTCTGTCATCCTTGTCTCTTTTGCTTTCTGTCATCCTTGTCTCTTTTTTGCTTTCTGTCATCCTTGTCTCTTTTTTGCTTTCTGTCATCCTTGTCTCTTTTGCTTTCTGTCATCCTTGTCTCTTTTTTTTGCTTTCTGTCATCCTTGTCTCTTTTTTGCTTTCTGTCATCCTTGTCTCTTTTTTGCTTTCTGTCATCCTTGTCTCTTTTTGCTTTCTGTCATCCTTGTCTCTTTTTTGCTTTCTGTCATCCTTGTCTCTTTTTTTGCTTTCTGTCATCCTTGTCTCTTTTTGCTTTCTGTCATCCTTGTCTCTTTTTGCTTTCTGTCATCCTTGTCTCTTTTTGCTTTCTGTCATCCTTGTCTCTTTTTGCTTTCTGTCATCCTTGTCTCTTTTTGCTTTCTGTCATCCTCCTTGTCTCTTTTTTGCTTTCTGTCATCCTTGTCTCTTTTTTTTGCTTTCTGTCATCCTTGTCTCTTTTTTTTGCTTTCTGTCATCCTTGTCTCTTTTTGCTTTCTGTCATCCTTGTCTCTTTTTGCTTTCTGTCATCCTTGTCTCTTTTTGCTTTCTGTCATCCTTGTCTCTTTTTGCTTTCTGTCATCCTTGTCTCTTTTTATTTCTTATTTTGATATTCATTATTTCTTCTCTTTCCTTTGTTCTTTTCTCATGTTAGCATTTCTTTTATTTTCTCTTTCCTGTCAATATTGTCTTTTTTCTTATTTTTCTTTTTTATTTTTCATTTCTTCTCTTTCTTTCTCTTTGCCAAGCTTATCTGTTTTATTTCCTTTTTTCTTTTTAACCTCTTTATCATTTTTTTCACTTTTTTCCTTTGTCAAATTTGTCTCTTTTCTTTCACTTTCACTTTTTATTTCGAAATTCTTCTTCTTTATCAGTTCTTGTCTTTCCATTTCTTTCTCAACCTTGTCTCTTTTTCTTTCTGTGAACTCTCTTCCACATTTTCTTATATTATATTTTCCTCACTTCTCCATAAATAATTCAGTTTATCTTTGCACCTCTCTCTCTCTTTGCTTAGTTTCAACTTTATATCTTTTTTCTTCTCCCAGTTCTCTTTTATTTTCCTCCTCTTCTCTTTTTGTTTATATTTTTACTTTTCTTTCCTCTATTTCATTTCCTTTCTCATTTCTCTTTCTTTCATTGTTTCATTAATTTATCATCCATATATCTTTTTTTGCTCATCTTCTCTCATTTTTTCATTCTTCATTGTCCCCTTTATTTTTCCTACTTCCTCATTCACATTATTTCGCTCTCATTTCCCTTTTTGTTTTCCTTGCCTCACAATTTACCCATTTGTTTTCATTCCTTTTCATTATCTCCCTTTCATTTTCTTTCCTTCACACTTTCTTCCTTTCATTTTCCTCCCTTTGCACTTTCTTCCTTTTGTTTTCCTTCCCTCTCATTTTATCACCTCTCAATTGCTTCATTTCATTTTCCTTCTCACTCACTTGCATCCTTTTCTTTTCCTTCCCTCTTGCTTTCTCCCCCCGTTTTCCTTTTTCTCCCCCTTCGTTTTCCTTTCCTCTCTCCCCTTTTTTCCTTTCCTCTCTCCCCTTCGTTTTCCTTTCCTCTCTCCCCTCGTTTTCTTTTTCTCTCCCCTTCGTTTTCCTTTCCTCTCTCCCCTTCGTTTTCCTTTCCTCTCTCCCCCTTCGTTTTCCTTTCCTCTCCCCCTTCGTTTTCCTTTCCTCTCTCCCCTTCGTTTTCCTTTCCTCTCTCCCCTTCGTTTTCCTTTCCTCTCTCCCCTTCGTTTTCCTTTCCTCTCTCCCCTTCGTTTTCCTTTCCTCTTCCCCCTTCGTTTTCCTTTTCCTCTCTCCCCTTCATTTTCCTTTCCTTTCTCCCCTTCGTTTTCCTTTCCCCTCTCACTTTCTTCCTTTGATTTTCTTTCCTTTTCATTTTCTCTCTTTTGTTTTCATTTTAAATTGTTCCCCCTTGTTTTTCCTACTCTTCACTCTCATTCTTTAACTTTTATTTTCTTTAGCTTCTTTTTTTTTTTTTTTCTTATTTCTTCTTCACTTTCCTCTTTCCCTGTAAGCCTCTCAAAAAAAAAAAAAAAAAAAAAGCCCAATTTGAAAGAATTTGAAATAGCACAAAACCTCATCGTTTTCCACATTAAAACAAAAGACTGAATTTTATAAAAAGAGAGACCACAGTTAAAGTTAGATTAGCGGAAAGGTGTGTGCGAGGTAGGAAAGAAAAAGAAGGTGGTACAGTTTCTTAATGTATGCAGTTCGTGAGAGAGCATCTTTGTCATCGTTGTTGTTAAAATCGCTGTTGCCAATGACTGGTTTCATGAAGATAAGACTTCTTCAAAGAATCGTGCATACTTCAACACCAGCAGAACTACTGTGGCCTCCACTCTTTCTTTCCCAAATCTCCACTCCCACTTCATCTTTTTGCTATCATCCCTAACCCCAAACACCTCACTTCCCTTATCTCCCTCCCTCTATTATGTTCTTTTATTTCTTGAAGAAGCAGACAACAATGAATTGCAAGGATCCAAGCATGAAAACTTCATTGCCATCTTTTAAAGCATGTGCCCTGTGAATAAGACATAAGAAAAAAAAGAAAAAACAAAGTGAGAAAAGGTAGGAAAAATTGAAAATCGAATAAAAAGAAAAATTAAGCCAAATCCCCTTTTGTGGGTGTAAATGGGTTTTCTTTTGTCCTCAGTGATTTAAAATTCTGTGGAAAAGGCTTTTGTTAAATTAGAGTGAAAAATTTTTTGAGAGAAAAAGACATTGAATGAAGAATGTCTTGATAGTGAAGTGGGTTTTGGACATTTCTTCTTTTTGCCATTTTTTTATTTTTTCTCTTAACAGAAATTAACAATAAAATTATTTGTACTCACACACTTGCATTCACATTGATACTGATTTCTCAAGGCAAGATTGCTGAGTGTTGAATTTAAAGCTCTCATTTATATAAGAAACAGCACATTCTTATATTTTCTTACACAAGCCTTGATAGAGCATTGGAATTAAAACCTGAACACCTGGTATCACTTCAATTTACATTCTTCAGACTGTTGTCCTCATCTTTATTGTTGTATTCATGATATGTCCCCTGTAGAATATTGGTTAACTTGCAAGTGGTCTAACACACAGGTAGACTCTGGTGTAGTCACTTCCAGTTGAAAAAACAGCAATGAGTGATTTAATGGAGAGATATTTGGGTGAATAGTCCATTCATGCAAATGTGTTGGGCGGGTCCTTTCTAGTAAAGGATAAAAGCGTTGGTTGAGTAATCCAAAAGTAACTTTACCCAAAGAGTTGTGAGTTCAATACCTGTCCACAGCAGAGGTAAACAAAAACTTGGAGAGTTGAGTAACTAAAAGGAATTAATTGAATATTGAGATATCCAGAAAAGCCATGGAACTAGAACAATCTACCTCCTTGGATTAAATAAAGAGTTTGGTTTGAAACTCCAACATATATCACCTGAAAAAGGCCCAAGCGTACAGTGGTTGAAACATTGTGAATATAAAGATGAAGACAATGGTCTGAACAATGTAAATAATTTACAATGCTTTATCTCAGAAATACAGAAAGACTTGTTATATATATATATATATATATATATAAAAATTTTAAAAACTTTTTGCACCATGCAAGCAGGTTACAGAAAGTGGGAGCAAGAGTAAAGAGGCGTGAAAGGGTAAAGTAAGCAGAGAAGGATGGGGAATAGATAAAGGCATCTGGAGATGTCGATTGACATTGCATTTGAATAGTCGGAGAAACAACTATCAAGGAAACAACAAGTAATAGGAAGGAAATTCCACAGACGGGAGGTGCAAGGCATGAAGCTATTGGAGTAGAAGAGACGGCTATATATATTTAGAAAAAAAGGTCCACGTGTGCTTCGTATAATATGTAAAATAGACAGGTTAGTTAATGAAAACAAGGACTAACAAAAGGGTACCAATATTATCAGCACAATAAACATTTATTGGATATTAATTATTAAACATATGACAGAAATGAAGCATGGAAAGAAAGGTTTGAAGTTCAGAATTTTCGTAGACGTCTGTGCCCTTCATCAATGGACTGTGGAATAAACAGAGAAATGGGAATTACTCACTGACAGATGTTTCTCTGTGTGTGTGTGTGTGTGTGTGTGTGTGTGTGTGTGTGTGTGTGTGTGTGTGTGTGTGTGTGTGTGTGTAATATATATATATATAAATAAATTTTTTTTTAAGGCAATTCACCCCAAGTAGCAAGGCGGGGAGTGCACTAGCACGCAAAGGGTTACTGAGAATTGAGAACGAGAGTAAAGAGGCATGTTTGAGGAAAGGTTACAGAGAAGGATGGGGAACAAGCTAAGGGTGCCAGATGTTGATTGACATTACACTTGAATATTTGAAGATTATAGTCATCGAGGCAGCAAGTAAGGGGAAGGGAGTTCCACAGACAGGAAGTGCGGGTAAAGAAGCTATTTGAGAAGAAGAGATGGTTACATTTAACCGTTTTGACAGCGAAAGGGTGGGACTGGGATGCCAGCCTGGTAGCACGTTTAAATTTATATAGTCTGGGAAGCAGCGAAAGTAGCTTGTCAGGACAGTTGCTATGAAAATATTTGAAGAATATATATATATATATATATATATATATATACAATATGCCAAGAGAAGACATGCTAATTTAAAACCTAGATTAAAATTCTCTTTCTAGTCTATGCTCTGTGCACATACAAGCACAGATTTCTAAAGATGGGCACTAATCATTTAAGCATTACACACCCCACCCCAAACAACTGTACTAACAGAAAATAGTGTTCTTGCTTTCCCTTTTGAGGCTACTGATGTTGAGTGGGTGGCTATGTAAATGACCCAGGTATTCATAGTTGGAATAAGAATAATTAAAATATCAACATTCTCTAAGATGTGTTCCAAGAAATAAAACTGAAACCTTTTCAAAACAGAAACTATGAACTGGAACGATATCAGTGATGGTGCGTACATCATTGTACATGCCATCATTGCTTTTCATCGTAAACAATTCAGTATGTGTAAACACTACACTTCAACTACTTTTGGGTATGAATCAGTTATAACCAACTTATAATGAAATTGAAGTGGCTGGGCTCGGATTAGTTTTGTCCAACAAACCAAGTTGCTACAAGACTAAAACATTAACCTAAAAACTCATGTTCCTAAATAGACTCATCAGATAAAGACTTTCATGTGGATGTCATTCATGACATCAAGCTCATTCAAAAATATCTAAACTGTTAGCTGTATATAACAATTTTCACAGATAAACAGTTAAAAAATGACATTGAGTGAGTGAAACATGTAGGATGTGCTTCTTTGAAATTCATCAACAGGTGCTAGATAATTACAAAGAAAGAACTGTACAAGATCGCTTGTGCTTTTTCAACATCAGCAGCAACTAAAATGGATATCTAAAATGGATATCACATTTAACTCAAAGTGAAAAATAATGACATAATCAAGATGTAGACATTCCACACTACTTCAAATAAAAGGTTAGGAAGGAAACTTCATCAATACTGGAAAGAGCAATAACAGCTACTGGACTTGAGAAACCTATTTTTCTGAAAAATAGTTTTAATAGAAAGATTTTCTAAATTTCAACTGACAAAAGTACTTTTCTCGCACTTACCTTCCATTTACTTACTTCTCTGATAACTAAAATCTTCAAAAATTTAAATGCAATGTCAATCAACATCATCTGTCTTCTTGAATCCTGTTCATATTTTGTCCTTTTCTCACACCTCCCTATTCTTAGTCTTCTCTTTCACTCTCTGTAACCCCCCTGTGTACTAGTGGCATTCCTGCTGATTGGAGCGAAATGATAAAAAAAAATTTGGGGGTTTTGATTTTAAATGCACAAATGTTTTTTGCTTTTCACTTGTACTTATTTTCTGAAATTAGACCTACAGACATTTTGTCTTTAAGTTGATAATGGCTTCAATCAAGCCTACAGACCTTCTTTATATAGAGTATTTGTGTGAAAGTGAATGCAATAGACTTGACCAGAATTTGAACTTTTTGTTAAACTAGAAACAGCACTGCAACAGCAGGAGAGTTTTCCTTCTTTTAGATTGGTTGCCACCCAAGACGAGGGAGTCCAGGCTACCATACTATTTAACCTACAGCTGAAGGGGAGAAGAAATAGTTTCATGTCTTTCCCAAGTGTATTTGTGTGAAAGTGAATGCAATAGACTTGACCAGAATTTGAACTTTTATTTGCCACTCCTTTTTGTTAAACTAGAAACAGCACTGCAACAGCAGGAGAGTTTTCCTTCTTTTAGATTGGTTGCCATCCAAGACGAGGGAGTCCAGGCTACCATACTATTTAACCTACAGCTGAGGGGAGAAGAAATAGTTTCATGTCTTTCCCAAGTGTATTTGTGTGAAAGTGAATGCAATAGACTTGACTAGAATTTGAACTTTGCTTGCTGATTTACATTCTGTACCAATATGTTACACTACTTGCACATCCCACATACTGCAGTGAGGTTAAGATTAGTATTGTTCTTCAGAATATTATTTTATTTTCTGTTTTTATATTTATAAATTATTTATAAACCCCGATAATAAACCCCTTTGTTATTTCTATCAAACTTTTAGTTCCTTTTTCCACTATATAAGATTTTATTTCGAGGAAGACGTAAACCGGTGTTTCAACTTATGTATTTACGCCCTGTGGGTGTGTGGCCAAGTGGTTAAAACATTTGTTTTCTGACCATGAGACTCAGGTTCAAACCTCACTATAATCAATTTGTCAGGGAGGTCACGTCCTGATGTTACTGACCTAGGAAGGTACCCTAGTGTGCAGTGCTGTTGGAAAGTGGCTGAAAAACCATACAACGGGGTGGCTCAAGCTCCATGTGCGAAAGTAGGTAGATGGAACCATTCAGAGGTTGTTGAACGGCTGTGCAATCAAAAAATCATGATCGCGGATTTGATCATACTGGCCTTGATGAAACAGATCATGCCATATAATACACTTTCTCCCAGAAACTGTAACTAAGGTCCTCTCAGCATAGTTGCAGTATAAACCACAGGTGGGCTGTGTGTGTGTGTGTTGAATAAATGCAAAATGTGCCTGAGCAGGCATATACAATAGGGATCGACAAGCTAACCATTAATTATGTAAGTCCTGTAGACACCACTGTGGAGTATAGGGCTACAGCCGCAACACACCAAGCATTGCTATTCTGGTTACTGTTAACAAGTACAGAGTAGGGTTGCTAGCTCCTCACCCATCAAGTCTTGAATTTAGAGTTGTTTTTTTCCTAGACTGGTTACCACTAGTTAGTGGATTCATAATTTTCCAAATTTATTTGTGCGGAATTGGATGCACAGACCTTAGCAGGATTTTGACTGAAATCAAACTCTGCAATTTGCGAGCTCTCTAAAATATTATTGAAGCTTGCTGTGTAAGAAAAGGTAAACTATAGAGAACGCTAAGTGATGTAATTTATTGCCTAATAACCCAAAGTGAGTAAATGATGTTGTTGTTGAATTTCTATCTATCTTTTTTAATGTAATTAATTAGGTTAA